CATTACTTATATCTTCAATTAAATAGGGAGCAAAAATGAATTTTTTTTCCCACAGAGCATGATTAAATTTGACAGCAAGTAAATATTAACATGAATTTAGATACTAAGGTGTTTAATAGTCTTGATGAAAACCTTACTTTTAAGACAGTGTTGCTGTTTTCCAATATTTATCTCTTACTTTACAGCTGAAAGTGAGATGGCACTGAAACATAATAGAACAGTTCTCAATTTTTTAGAATTTTTTTTTTTTTTTTTTGGGGGGGGGGGGGAGGAGGAGGAAGAGGAGAATGACTCAGAAAAAGATAATCCTTATTACCCAAACATGAAGTCTTGCAGAGACCCGTGTGTCAAAAAATTATCTTAATAAACTGATTTTCTTTTGCCAGATTATTTTCTCTTAAAAAAAATTCCATTGCCTATTGTGTTACTATGTAACACAATGTAACTACGTAACTATGTTATATTCCACAAAAATATAAGAGAAACACATACACCATTCCAAAATTGAATGCAGCATGATTATACTTTGGAAAATTTTTGGAAGAGTGACATATAAAAGATACTTCAACATAAGTTTCACTTTTTTAGCAGTGTTAAAAATGGGAAGTTGTGTCAGACTCTTTAATATTCCTTACTTTTCAAGTATATTTTTCCTGAAATTCCTACAAGGAATGATACCAAAATGTGATCCAGTTCAAAACTACTTTAGCTTTAGAAGGTTGATTTCGCATGTGGGAGAAAACCCTTAAATAGCTGAGATTTGAAACAACAAAGAAGCAAAACCCTGCAGGTTTAGCAATAACTGAGGCCATTCTGCATTATTCTGGTGTGTCCCAGTGACAAAGATATCCTCCAAGTAACAACCATGTAACAGAAAGATAGGTACTTAATGTAATTTGATTGACAACAGTCTGATAACAACATATTTAAGATATTTATATCAAATACTAGTCTTCTATCTCCTTTCATATTCTGAAAATTCAAATGATGCTATTCCAGGGAGCTAGAACCTTGCATGCCCTTTTTGCTTCCGAACATCTTCCCAGCCAAAAAATTCACACCTACATATAAAACATTTTAAAGCAAGATTTATGTATTATGTGGTAGAGCAAAACGTAGCTGTCAATGATTTCTCTCAAGCTTGAGTCAAGAAAGATTTCTTATAAAATTTCTTTACCATTACTACAAAGTAGCAAAATGTAAAAAAAAAAAAAAAGTATCAGATGAAAATGGTTCTGCTGGTGTAATGAGAAAAAAGCAGAATTCATGCTAAGAGAAAATAACAGATCTTGTCTAAGCTTTTATTGCTGTCATTTTATTGAATTAAAAATTAAATGCATAACATTTTTACCAGTGCAAAATACAGGCTGGTATATGAAACAGTTACCTATTGTTCACATACAGGCTTGTTAGAGATACTTGTACATGTAAAGACACATATATATGTTTACGTATGATCAAAGTGTTCATTGAAACCAATTAACACAAAATGTCCTTAAGCCCCACTACTCCTTTACAGAGGAGAGAGAGTGGGTATAGCAGCCAGAGACTGACCAAGCCTGCCTGCTCTTTGTACTCTTTCCAAGGCAGCTGAAAGCCCTATCTGATACCGAGGGAAAATCTTTAGGCTAAAAGAAAACTTGATAAAAGGTGCAAGACAAGACCCGCACCCTAGAAGGAAATGAGTCTGCCCTGTCAAGAGTCTGTTTGAGCAAAACAGTATCTTTTTTCAGGGTCTACAGTAACAAGGTAAGCCAGGTGTTCACAGGACTCAGACAGGAGAGAGAATTTTTATTTTAAAATCTGTCCCAAACCTATTACGGCTCAGATGAGTCAGTAGAACCATGTTTTGTTGAAAGAAAAGCTGGAAAGCTTTTATCTTAGCAAGACTTACTCACCATCTGACTTAGAACTGCTTTTTATTATTTAGGCTCACAGAACCAGTGAGAGCCAAATCCTACCCACATCAAGTCAGGGTAGCCCGAACATTAAGGTACTACAAATCAGCATTCTCATTTCAGCATCCTAGACACATATCTGTAAAAGCAGGAACAATATTTCCCAACTGTTCACGTGCTTTGATACCTTAAAATTGAACTCTTTTCAGGAAAAGGAACTACTTGTTATTATAAAAGTAGTGCCAAGTAGGTTCTAGTTAAGGTATTTTAAAATAAAAATAAATTTAGTACACTTCAATCATCCATTTCCTGACAAAACAGTCACTGTAGTAGCCTCACTAATGTTTTCCTGATTTATCAAAGATATAAAGTTTACATTCTTACTTACAACCATCACAAAGCATTTTCTGACATAGAATCATAGAATGGTTTGGGTTGGAAAGGACCTTAAAGATCATCCAGCTCCAACCCCCCTGCCATGGGCAGGGACACCCTCCACTAGCCCAGGTTGCTCAAAGCCTCATCCAGCCTGGCCTTGAACACCTCCAGGGATGGGGCATCCACAGCTTCTCTGGGCAACCTGTTCCAGTGCCTCACCACCCTCACAGGAAAAAATTTCTTCCTAATATCTAGTCTAAATCTGCCCTCTTCCAGTTTAAATCCATTAACCCTCACCCTGTCGCTACATGCTCTTTTAAAAAGCCCCTGCCCATCTCTCCTGTAGCCCCCTTCATGTCCTGGAAGGCTGCTATAAGGTCGCCCCGGAGCCTTCTCTTCTCCAAGCTAAACAACCCCAACTCTCTCAGTGTGTCCTCATACAGGAGGTGCTCCATCCCTCTGATCATCTTCGTGGCCCTTCTCTGGACCCGCTCCAACAGCTTGACGTCCTTCTTGCATTGGGGGCCCAGACCTGAACACAGTATTCCAGGTGCGGTCCTCCAGAGTAGAGGGGCAGAATCACCTCCCTCAACCTGCTGGCCACGCTCCTCTTGATGCAGCCCAGGATCCGGTTGGCCTTCTGGGCTGCAAGTGCACACTGCCAGCCCATGTTCAGTTTTTCATCTACTGATACCCCCAAATCCTTCTCCTCAGGGCTGCAGGAACTATCTTAGCCACAGTCTAAGAGAGATTTTCTGTAGTATTTTACTATGGGAGATCCTATGTCCACAAATTGTTACTTCTTTGATGCAGATTTCTGCAAGAGGCAGAATTTTACTCCGTGCACTCTTTTCTTTTGCCACCCCCTGTGACAGATGCACTGCTCCTGTATGAAGTAACTGAACTTTGGTCCAGATGCCCAGCAAGTAGGCCTAACCAAAGTTATTGTGTGAGGCAATCAGTGAGAACCAAACCCCCAAAAAACCAGTTTGGCTGGAGACTCTGACTGATAAGCAGATGAAAGTGCATTAACACAACAGAAAATCTGATTACAAACCAACCCCTTTGCACTGTAAATATCTGCAGCCATCAGGGTCCATTGAGCATTGCCTCCACAGCAGCTGTCTGCGCCAGTGGTGATCTCTCCTTGAGCAGGGATGCCTCTTCAGGTTACCACTTGAGGCTGACAGATCCCTTACATCAATGGGTTGGCAAGTGACATTTTTTTGCATGCATGTAACATTTAAGATATGTATAGTAAGCTTACGTGATAATCTTTGTATCCCATACTAACTTTAAGTGTAGCAAAGTGTAGAGTATTGACTGCCAATCCATTTAGCACTTATTAAATATTTTACATACCTAAATTTACTGATTGGAACCCAAATAAACTAACTACTAGCTCAGATCTGTCTGACCGATTTCTGACTCTTTTCCTGCAACACCACCTCCCTTCATTGTCTTTTCCACCCTCTAATACTTCTCTGGAGAATATTGGATATCAAGGCTCTCCAAGATAAAACCTCAAAAAGAAGAGCTGAAAATGCTACTCATCACCTACAGGCATGAGAAAAGACACCCCAACATTTAATTATAACTGTATTGAATCAATCCAATCTGAATTGCTTCTTTGATTACTTTTAAAATACAAAAATACCAGTGTTTGGGTTAAAAAAACATAGCAAAGCTATGGTAGCAAAAACACCACCTGTTCCTGGGAGAAGAAATTACAAAGAAATAATTTAACTTGCACCAAAATATTCTTACTTAATTGCCTAATCAAAGGGCCCAGCTTCCTACTGAAATAAGAATCCAGCTAACTGACCTGATGGTTCTTGAAAGATTAATGTTAAAACAGACCATGGAGGAACAGATACACATAGTCATTGGATATTTAAGAAAAGTACTACTGAGCTCTGATCGGTGTCAATAAATGCAGATTTTACAAGAAGGGACAGCTTACTGCAAGTGCCCTTAGAGAGTTCAGGTGTAGAAGCTTGCTTTTTTCAAATTTACAGTGGTCACTGTAGATAGAGAGTGATAGATATGAGAAGCAATAAAGTATCTAAAGTTCAATAAAGTATAATTCATGTCTAAATACTGCGGTGCCCAGTGATGGGCAGAGATGCTATAAATGCTATTCAGACAAGGTCAGAGAAAAATATTATCAGTGACTCAACTTCTTCCAAAGAAAAAAGTCTAACACTCTGCTTTGACACATTTACCCTGCACTTACTTAATTCACTTTAGGATTTTCTTGTTCTGCTAGTGTTCTAATGTTGTATCTGAAGGTGGGGAAAAACAAACACAGAAGACAAGACTATTCAGTGTCACAGCCACTCTTCTAAACCTGCGATGGAAGAAGGGAAGTGTGAGGCAAAGAATCCAATACACCTGAGCTAGAGGAAACAGATTCAAAGGACAATTAGGACAGAACAGAGAAGGAGAATGAAGAGATAATAAAACAAACAGCAGAAAAGGTAACAGAAGAGCATATAAACTTTCGACAGCAAGGCCTCTTCTGGTTACGGGAAAGAATATCCCTAAATCCCCTATTGCAACCATCATGCATAAACAGATGTTTCCCACCCTCTCAAACATGCAAAAACTACTGTTCATCCAGAGATGTTTTGAGCAAGGATCTATTTTTTCCATCTGTAGTGGCATAAGACAGCTAACAGCAGAGTGTTCAACTCTTAGATAAAATGAGAGAAATAAACATACCTGCCGGTGAATAACCTCTAGGTTTGTTTTGGCTTTATTCAGTAGTTCTTCTATTTTTTCAGAATCCTTTATATTCTTGTTTTCTCTGAAGGCATCTCTTATCCTTCTGATGGCATACGTTCTAAACACAAACAATAAAATGTGTATTCATAGATATGCCACAGTGCATGACATGTCAACATTCTTTAAACTATGCTGATTTTTAAAAATATACATACACACACATATATATTTTGCCCAGTTTTATACATATATATTTTTATTCATGGTCTTGTCTTGCCTGAGCTGAAACAGTGACAAGATCCTTTAATTATGAACAAGTGGTTTTACTGGAAGTTATTGTAGAGGAATTTCATATTTCACGTATCAGTCCAGTCCTTACTGCTTGTAATTGCTGTAAACTTACTGTTGGATTCCCAGCATGGATACTGTAACACTCAAGACTATAAGAAAAAGCCAAAGAACAGAAAAATCACCCCCAAATTATTTTTAATCAGTATGAATATTCTTATTCTGCATACTCTAAAGGTCATTGAGCTACACACTAAATACATTACATTATTACTAGTTCTGACTTTGTAACCTAGCAGTCACCAAATTGGACCAACCATAACAAAAAAGGGCTCCTTCTCTGTCACCTCTTTCCTCTCCTGACAAATTATACTTTACTCCTCAGTCCAACACCTCCCCATCCATGTCCCCACTAAGAAGCAATAAAAGGACACAATCTTTGCAAGTAGGAAGAGGTTATGATCTCTGCTTTCAGAGAGGGCCAATTTCAATATTAAAATAACATTTTCAGACTGAACAGTAGATACTTTCCTTACACACGTGCTTGGGAGGGAAAGGAGAAATGGCAGTAAACTGATCCTGCTCAGCTATCTTGATAACGTCCCACTTCTCTACCACCACATCACATCAGTATAATTTCTACTACAGAAAGTAAAACCCTGTGTGTGGTGCTGGAAGGAAAAAAAAGGGCTGCTGCAAACACCACAAACAGTGTAATGTTTCAAAAACTGTTTTTAATTTTGTATAAAAGTGAAACAGGAGACAGAAAATTGTCTGAAACATGATAATAAAAAACTCCAAAGATGATGCTGAAAAATAAAAATACTGGGGGAGGAGACTGAGGACAGGAGAGGAAGAAGAGGAAACTCCGTACCGTTAGATGGTGCTATCCAGCTCCTAATGCAGCCTCCACCAGACAAGCAGCATATTTTCTCTTTGAGCTCATAAATAATACATTTTAATCAGAGGAATCAGGATGGTTATGGAGTGCTACCCTGCTGCCGCACACCAGCAGATGGTGCACTTTTAATTAGGGCCTGTTCACCTACAATGTGACACTGGGGTGCGCGAGCGAGTGACTGTGTGTTTGTACGTGTGAAGTTAATAGAATGTATTAAATATGGAAGCTCATTCTCATCTGCAGCTGCTGTCCTAGCAAGATTTGAAGGGAAAGCTGCTTATTTCTTCTAGAAGAGAACACCAAATCATTATGATGTAGTGTAATTTTGTTGCTTGATAATGGATGGATTTTAAATCATGTACATATGCAGGGTTAAACTGTGAAGAAACATATAATATTTTCTGCAAGAATGGAAGGGTTTCTGAAAGATACAAAGACCTTATATAAATATACATATACAGACTGGTTTTTTTTTTGTTTTGTACATATGGTGCTTTAATTGTTCCACTTTCCCTCTTCCTCTCATTACATTCAACAGTTGTTGAGAAAGAAAAGATATGTAATTAAAAAACATGAGACCAGTTTTTATCTATAGTCAGAAAATTGCACCTTTTTTCCTTTTACAATTTATTTAAACCTTTATGAATGTTAACATCCAAATGAAGTTATTTTACACAGTCTCTAACACAATCCTAATCCTACAGCGAAATCAATACATCCGCAGTATTCTGTAAACACACTTCAAAGACTATGTCTATATCCTGGTACTACTCCTTACCAGGGTTACACTGAGATTCAATAAATCACTTAAAATAAGAACGGGCTGAACTCAAAGCTCACACCCAATATTATAATGACTGTAAAACATCCTTTCTTCCCTATTGAGAGATGCCAGGGGAACGTTTCGCCAACAGTCAAATTCTTCCAAAATCATGTAACAAGTGTTAATTCAAGATATAAACAAACTGGTAGTTTTGGGATATATATTTTTTTTTTTTAAACAACAGCTTTTCATATGCAACAACAGTTATGAGCAGTTTCAATTCCAAACCTCAATACTCTCTACACTTCAAGAGTTTCTGAACTGAGTATGTACTAAAAGCTAGTACTAACATTAGGGCTGCGATATTGCTGCAAGTCCATGAACAACCGAGGTCTTTTGAAAGTACAGTAACGTGTGTAGCAACATGTAGTAAAGATATACATGCTATGAAAAGAACTTCTTCGTTCACACATATTTCTGTTGTTTTATTTTTTTTTTAAAGAGCACTACTCCAAAGATGTTCTGGTTGATGAAAAGTCTGGTCAGCTGATCAGCTACTGTAAGGGTGTGTATTTTCAGTTCAATAAGCATAAACACCAAAACCAATCATGTACCATTTGAAAGCACAGCTCGAAATGCCAATGGCAGAGAATATATGGCTATCTTCATAAAACTTTACAACATTAACGTGAAAGTAGCACTATCTGAAGATTGGGGGATAGATGAAAAGCATACCAGCACGGTATTAAGCAAGCATGGTTGCTGTACCTTATAGATGATTATTTACCGAAGCTGGCCCAAAGGAACTGCGGGCATGCAGCATTGCAACAAATTTAAGCCAATGTTTGTGAAGGGGAGCTGCTGCAGTTTTGCCATGCTCCCTGATAGGTAAGAACCATCCCCCTGCCTCCTCCAGACCCACACTGCCAGTCTGATATTTGGCCCTGAGATGAGCCAGTCCAATTTGGTAGCCTGGAAAAAGGCCAACCTACTACAAGAGTTAACATTTTTTTGGTTGTTGTTTTGGGTTTTTCTTCTGGATTAGCCAGCTCCATCAGCTCTGCATAGTGCTGGATGAGCATTACCGCTGAGTAGGAGGGAATACAGCAGTATGGATTTAGACGGATACAGTTTGTGATAGATCGATCCCACTCAGAGAGGCCAAGCAAGTCACACAAACAAAGGGGACTCTTCAGCGAGAGGGTGCCAAGCAAACTCTCCAGAGAAAGAGAACAGGAAAGCAATTCCACATACAGTACACTCAAACAGCTCCTACAGACCTTTGGGAAAGGTCCTGGGAATGCATGTGTTTGTTAAGGAACATCATTGCAAATGAAAACTCAAACTGCATTTCACAATCTACTATTTTTCTCACCATTCTTTGGAAACAGATACTGAAAAGTGACTGAAAGATGCAACAAGGCATTTTATTTTCTTTTTGTCATCCAAGCACACTGAAATTTTAACAGACAACACCTTTGACTTAATCTTCTGCAAAGACCCTTCTAGCAAGCTAGTGACAGCAGGGCCCAAGCAAGAGCATACAGTTGAATACATTAACTCAGCGCCCTGTTACATATGCAGACTCAAGACACCTTTTGTGATCCCTGTTTATGTGCATCTGTCACACAGTTAACTCCCAATTAAATTAAAAGTATGTATTCAGTGGGTAATAAACTCAGTGCTATGGCTTCAGGCCAAAGCCACCACAGGTGGATGGCGATGCAAGATGCACATCAGTAGAAAATAGAAAGAGTGGTTAGGGGTTAATGCGAGAACAACGCCAGGTCCAAAACCTTACAACAGACTCAGAGGGAACATGCACGACCTGCTAACGTTAAGAGACAACAATGCCCCCAAATAATAGTAAAAATCATGGAGTTATGGTTAGAAAACAGTCTTTTTCATAATACTCGGTCATTGATCTCTACCTTCAAAGAGTTCATCTTTTTCCTTCCCCAAAGCACAATAGAAAAACCAACATGCGTCCTCATAAAAATGAAGCCTACAAGAAGTGAAGTCTGAAACAATGGCTATTAAGGAAAAACGAAAATGCAACAGAGCTAATTCAGAAAATTATAGCTGCTTGGGGATTCAGATATCTTTATTTCAAATTTTTTCCTTATGTCATGCCTGACAAGAAAACAAAAAGAATCTGCTTCCTTTTCAAGTCTTCACTCACGTATCTTTGTGCTCCACTAAACCAGAGTGTGAGAAAAGAAACTGAAACACTGCGCAGACATACTTGCTTTTAAGTACATAATACTATGCCTTCAAAATAAACCTAAGCAATGTTTTTCTCAGCACCACTTTGCATTTACCAGTACCACAATACACTAGAGCTTTTATCTTTCCAAGACAGCTTTACAAACATGTTGACATCTTGTCTTTGTGACTGCGAACAAATATAATGTATGAATGGATCACATCTCAGTTATAGGCAACATATTGTGAAACATAATGGATACTGCAAATTGTAAATCATTGAGCAGGTACTCAAAGATAGAAGAGGACTGTGGTGCACAACCTGTGCTAGTAAAACAGATTACAAGGAAAGAGGCCAGCAGGATAGAATATTCAAAACTTTCAAAAAAGGTATAAAGTAAAAGGTATTCTTCCCTATCAGCATAAGTTGTAGTTAATAAATTAAGTGATCAGTAGCCAACCTCTAGGAAGCCCATTGTGGTTAAAATTTTTGAAGTGAAGTATATGATGCATTTAAGGACACAATGTGTGAAAGTGGGATCCTGATTTACAATATTATTTCAACTGAGGGATCCTTTTCACAGAAGGTAATTTCCTTTCATTAACTATGTTTTCTTACAATTTCTCCCTTCCAATTCACATCTATTAACTTAAGGCAGCAACAGCATGAATTTTCAGAATTTTCCATTATTACTAGCAAAATGTGCAGCAGACAAGATTTGCCCAACTGAATTTTCAGAATTATGTATAATTTAAAAATGGAACATTTTTCTAATAAAAAAAATACCTGCAGAAAAGTAATTTTAGCTTAACTTAAACTTTTATTAGCATTAGTGAGGATGTCTCCAAGTACAGAATCACTTCAGAGGGAATGACTACTTATATATATGTGTGTACACATACGTATTTCCATATATATGTATGTAATTACAATATTTCTTTCCTCTATAAAGGTGTCATTAAAAGTCAGCAATAAAGGTGAGGTAAAAGCTGCATGCATTTACCATTTAACACTAAAAAAAGAAACATTTGACAACAGATGTGTGCTTGAGACCGAGAGGTAAGTACTTCACAGGGAAGTAGTTTTGGCTTGTCTAATTAAACACAGGACCAACAGAAGGGTGCAGGTGCAATGTTTTATCAGCAAGGTGTTCCTCAAGCTCCATCACTAGACACATTTTCAGCACTGCCACCTCAAGATACAGCACAACAATGATGACACCTGCCTGTTTTCTAAAATCAAAGCAAAGTCTATTCCTGGAACAACGATGTATTGGGAGGAGTTGGGGTGGTAGCAGGAAGCTGGGAGGGGAGGAGAGAAAAGAAACAGAAAACTTGGACTGTTGGTTAACCCAGTATTATTTCCAAATCAGAGTCCCTAGACCGTCTTCACAAAAAGCCTACAGAACAAAACTCAAAAGCCACTACTTGGTTTCTCTGCTAATATACAAAATATTGGTTCCAGTGGAATTGACAAGAAATATGTCCAGAAGAGAACAGCACTAGAGATACTTTATGAGAGAGGAATACCCCAAAAGAACAAAGTAGAGGAATAAAAATTGACAAGCATTAGAAAACACACTTGAGAGAGCTGGTGACTGTGACCCAGTGCACATAATACATGCTGTATTATCACATACAATGATTTGTAAATATTTCTAAAGTAAATCTTGCTACTTTGTGTCCTGTATCTCAAAACCTCTAATAAAAACTTCAACCTGCTCCATGCAAGTTACTCTAGATGAGAAAAAGCTTCTAATATGCATGCCTATTTCAAAGAGTTTCCTTTCATTTTCTGTAATAAATCTAAAAAACTGAAAATGCCTCCCCACATATATACATATGGAGAGAGAGAGAGAGATACTGACTTGTGGGTGTTTTTAGGAAAAGAGGACTTTTTTTTCCTGACTCTATCCTCTCATCAGTTTGCGCCTGTACCCATTTCAAAGACAACAGCAGGATGATGTCCTGGTTTCAGCTGAGACAGAGTTAACTGTCTTTATAGTACTTAGTGTGAGGCCGTGTTTTGGATTTGTGCTGAGAAGAAGGCTGATAACACACTGACGTTTATAGTTGCTGCCAGGACAGCCAAGGGTTTTTCAGGTTCTCTGCTGTGCCAGTGTTTGCAGGGGCAGGAGAAGCTGGGAGGGAGCACAGCCCCAATTACCAGCCTAGGATTAGACCATAGAATTAGGATTGAGATCCAAATTGGCCAGTAGTCTAGTCCATATCATGCACGTCAGGCCCAGTATATAGATGACGCTCCGTCCAGAAGTGCTCTGACTTTCCAGGTCAGCTCTCTCTGGACGGTCTCCTGCTCTGGGTTGTCTGCCTCTGGGTCACCCCTCTTCTCAGGGTTGTCTCGGTCAGCTCTTGGTTTCTTGGACACTCAGACTGTTATCTCTATCTCATGAGTGCAGTTTTGGAACTCTCCCTGCTCTGGGATTGTTAGCCAGGAACAGACTGAGCCTTGGTCACTGGGCAGTGAGCAGCATCACTGTGTACCACTCATTTGTGTATATATATATATGTATTACTTACACTATTATTTCTCACAGGGCAAGTGCTTCAAGCCCCCCAACCACTTTAGTGGTTTCTGCTGAGCTTACTTCAGGTTATACATGTCTTTCTGTACAGGGGGTGGAGTGGGGACAAGGCTGGACGCAGTACCCCAGATGCAGTCTAACAAGCACTGAGTAGAGGGCGATAATCACACCCCTCGATCAGCTGGCTGAGCAACTGTTGATACATCTTGGGATGCTCTTGGCCTTCCTTGCTGCCAGGGCACCCTAGCCCCTTGTGGGCAGAGCTGCTCCCTGTCCAGTCAGTCTCCAGCCTCTTCTGTGGCTGAGGCATCTCCTTCCCAGGTGTAGGACTTCACACTTGTCCTTACTGAATTTCGAAAGCTTGCTGTTGGCCTTTTCCTTCAGGCTTCTGAGGTCCCTCTGGACAGTAGCCCTGCCCTTGAGCACACTGGCTCCACAAATTTTGTGTCATCTGCAAACTGAATGAGCAAGCAGTGTTGCTTCCTCTGGGCCACTGATAAAGGTGTGAAACAGGATGTGTCCCAGGATCAACCCCTGAGCACCTATTAACTACCATGCATTAAGCCCCAGCATCCAAGCAGTCTTAAAGGCACATGGTTGTCCACCCATCCAGACCATAACACCCTAACTTGGATATAAAAATGCTGTGGGAGTTAGCATTGAAAGCTTCCCTGAAGTAGAGGTGAACAACATCCACTGCTCTCGCCTTGTTCACAAATCCAGGCAACCACATTGGTCAGGCATGATTTACCCTCAGTTCCCAAACACCTTCTTCTTCATGGTCCCAGAGTACTATCAGTGCTATTCATAGTTAACTAGGATTATTTTTGCAGTTCTTTGAAACATATATTTTTGTTGCTATACTTCCAGAAATAAAACCAGCTATTGGCTTAATTCCAAGTGTAAATCTCTGCAGAAGAGAGTGCTTTTCAGAAGGTGAGGGTTAAAAGAAAAAAGGATAGATGTCCAAATGAAACTGTTCTGTTCATCTGAATTGGAGTTGCAACTGCAACGTTATACTGCATAAAAGGTTAAAAAAGAGCGTTATCAGTGAAGTACCTAATCAAAGGAGTTGTTCAGTTAATGAGACACTGGACAAGGATGTGAGTCAGGAACCAGAAACAGAACTTGCCACAGATGAAAAGTGTCCTGATGGCCTGAAATGCCAAATAGCTCTCTCTGCTAAGTTTTCACTGCCAAGACCCCGACAACTGCTCACCAGGACACTCTGGTAGCTCAGCACTCCAGTTGCCAGGTAGGGAATGCCATGAAACCACAAGTTCAAATCCTGACTTCTCTCTTCTTCCTTTTGAGGCAGATACATACCATTC